GAATCGCTTGAAGATGTGTCTGCCTTCTTCGTCGCAACTTTGGGGGTGTTAGCAGTTGAATTCGATCTGATTGCAGTTTTTAGCGTAGCAGCCTTCTGAATGAAATATAAAAGTTGAAGATAAGGAAATCGAGTTTTCAAAGGCGTGAAGAACTAAATGACTTGAGAACGAAAATCAAAAAAAAAAGATGAATAAAGTACTCTTCAATTAATTTACCAAAGATACCTGACTACTGATATGCAAAAGCTTTTCGAAAATGAACTTTAAAAAAAACTTTAAAAATTGACATATTGTAGAAGCATATACCAACTTTGGAAGTGGTTTCATCAGAGTCGGAATCACTGCTAGACGACGAAGCCGTCTTTTTTGCTGCTATTTTCGCTGACGCCGGTTTTACAAGATTTACCACTGGTTTAATCGGTGTTTTCTAAAACATTTAATTTTTGGTTTAGTAACACCATGTATACTAGATTCAAATCACTTTTAGGCTATCATACCTTAACAGTTGGCTCATCATCAGAATCAGAATCACTAGACGAGGATGCGTCCTTCTTGGTAGTAGAAGTAACTGGCTTAGGTGCTGGCTTTGTAGGTTTTTTCTATAAAAGTGGTGAGAAACATTCACAAAAATTAACGAGTAGTAGCTAACCTTGGCAGGGGTTTCATCTGAGGAATCCGAATCACTTGACGACGATGAAGAAGCAGCTTTTTTGGCAATGGTAGGAACGACAGGCTTCAAAGGGACTTTTGATGTTGTTTTCTGAAACAATCAATTTAGATAGCACAAGTAAATATTTGCTCAAATGAATCAAAGTAGAATGTAAGATATGCTCCGAAACCTTCCAAAACCGAGAGAATTGTTCACCGTCAATTTAGACGAAAGTCTAGACACTAATTAAGAAAAGGAACGTGGTATAAACAAGTTTTTTTTAACCTAATTTTAGTAAAAGTCGTACAGAGAAGATGCGTAACAGAAACTACCGTCGTTACTTTCTTCTTCTTTTCATCATCGGAGTCAGAATCACTTGAAGATGATGATGAATCCGCCCTTTTGGTTGCAGGTTTAATAGGCTTAGCAGCAAAAGGTTTTGCCGGAGTAGACTAAAATATTTTTTTCTGATTTTATTATGAGATCTAATAAGGGGTAACACTAATCTTGCCTTTTTATCATTATCGTCAGAGTCGGAATCGCTGGATGAGCTTGAAGCTTTCTTAACAAATGGCGTGGATGTTGCTTTTGGTACTAATTTTGCAGGAAGTTTCTAAAAATTATCCTAACTAACACTGTTATATAACAGAACCGTCAAAAGACACCTTCTCTCCCTCCTCAGAATCTGAATCACTTGATGATGATGCGGGTTTCTTAGCAGATGACGCAGCTGACTTCACTGAAGGGACTGCCGGTTTGACAGGAGTTTTCTGAGAGCAATAATTCTTCACATAAATAGCAAAACCCAATATTGATGCTAACCTTTAATTCAGCCGCATCTGAATCAGAACTGCTAGACGATGATGAAGAAGCCTTCTTTGCTGCTGGAGTTGTCATCTTGGCAACTGGGGCAGATATTTTCTGCAAATGAAAGTTCTACTGACAAAAAATCAGTATTAAATACGGAAAACAAATACCTTTGTCGTAGTTTTATCATCGGAGTCCGAATCGCTAGATGAGCTCTCAACCTTCTTCGCATCGGGCTTGGTGGTTTCAACAGGAGCAATAGAAGTTTTCTTCTAAGAAAGGTACAACGATGTCAATAATAATAACAAAAGAGGGGAAAAATCAAGTGACGAGTAGCTCACCCTAGCAGCAGCATCATCGTCGGAGTCTGAGTCACTTGACGAAGACGTCGGCTTCTTAGAAGACACGGGTGCAACTTTTACCACAGGTTTTGTAGGGGTTTTCTGAGAATAAAAAAAAACAGTTTACAGCGCAAGTACATCTCAATACTCCCATTCCCTGTCCTTAACTAAAGGATCTCATTGTAGTTCACCGTACTTTTGAATGTCAAAAACGATGACTGAAAAAATTCACTTTAGCGGGAGCATCATCGTCTGAATCGGAGTCACTAGACGATGAAGAAGGCTTTTTTTGAGTAGCTGTTAGCTTAGCCTTCTGTGTCGAGTTTGGTTTCGCGGCAGGAGTCGTCGGCTAAAGTGACAACTTCTCTGCTTATACTTTACTTACATACTCAATTAAATTTTGCTGCTAGATAGCAGTACCTTGACTTTCGTTTCATCATCTGAATCGGAATCACTAGACGATGAGGAAGGCTTTTTCTGAATAGCCGTAGGCTTAGCATTCTGCGTTGAGGTTGGTTTCGCGGCAGGAGTCGTCGGCTAAAATGACAACTTCTCTGCTTATACTTTACTTAGATTCTCAATTATATTTCGCTGCCAATTCGCAGTACCTTGACTTTTGTTTCATCGTCCGAATCAGAGTCACTAGAGGATGAGGCATTTTTCATAGCAGTTGGCTTAGAAGCCTTAGGAATTACTGGAGATTTTGCAAGTGTTTTCTGAAGAAAAAATTTACAAAAAACGATGGCTTAATTTCAGATGGAGATGTGAAGATAAAAATACACTCAAGGATTGATAAGAATAAATAAACTTATAGATGTCATCACTGTTTCCTTAATGCAAAATATTTTTTACAAATTCGAGCCCGAAAGTCAAAGTTTCTTCAAGATCATGGCTAACCATCAATCACCGTGTAGACAAGAAAGATAAGAGTGGCTATAGTCGAGATAGCATGTGTACTGTACATTTACATCATACAATTGAGAATATAAATCATCTGATGGGCCAAAAAGAACGCGCATCTTTTAACTTCGTAAAAAATTCTACACTTATATTATCTGCACCTATTGTACATTTGCATTTGAGCAAAAGCTGCAAAAAAAGGATATTGAAAATTCATCAGGATATATCAATCCCTTAAACTAACGTAATTTTTTTGAGAACTGCCAAAAAAACCTTTGTTTGTGGCTCGTCATCATCAGAGTCCGAATCACTGCTGGATGTCGCCGCTTTTTTCGCGGTCGTAGCTGCTGGCTTTGCAACGGGCTTCGCGACAGGTTTGACGAGTTTCTGAAGCAAATTTCTAATGAATCCTATGTGAAGTAACAATTGCATGAACATGTAGCGACCAGAGACACGAAAGATACCTTCGCTGAAATTTCCTCATCAGAATCCGAATCGCTTGAAGAACTTGTGGCTTTCTTTGCAGCCGCAACAGCTAACTTTACATTAGGTTTGGAAATGGCCCTCTATAAACAAAATTAATATAAAAAAAGGAACTGTAATTTTTCCGCAAATATGTATGTATTTAGGCATACGTGCTGGAATGATATCTCTCATTAAACCGTTCTTGACAGACATCAATATATAAGAATTTGGTTGAAAACAGTGCAATTTTACAGAGCTTTTCCCTAAGGGAAGAAAAATTCTTCAAAAATGTGGAAAACGTAACCTTGAGTTGTGGCTTATCCTCATCATCGGAGTCGGAATCACTTGATGATGTCTCGACTTTTTTCTGGGCCAAAACTAATGGTTTAGTAATAGGTTTTGCAGGGGTCTTCTGTAAATAAGCATTGTCGTTGTAACTTTATAACTCTCATGTCAATTAGAAAAGTCGAAAAGAATAGAAAAACTGATTTACAATTAATAAAAAGGTGGCTCTCGCATTCAAGAAAGCACTACAAGCACATATCACCTTTCGGGAATGAACGTCGAAGTCAAGTATGTAAAGGTAAGATTTCCTTCACCATCGACTGAGTTTCGTTCGTGACTTTCAAATCTCACGGATGAATACATGCGAAAAAACGAAAATCAAGTTGATGCATTTATAAATGGATGAATACCCTTGAATATCCGCCTAGTTTTCGCAGCAAAAAAAAGCCACGTTCAGGGAAAGTAAGG